TACGCGGGGTTTCTCGAGCCGGCAGAGGGGGCCGCGCGGGAGGGAGGGGGCGCGTTCGCGGCCTGGGCGCCGGCCTGCGCCGTGCGCCGTCGGGGGTGGGGGGAGTGGGTGGCCGCCGGCGGCGATCGATATGTTGGGGAGTGGGCGGCGGACGCCCCGCACGGCTTCGGCTGCTACGCCACCCGCGAAGGCGATCGCTACGTGGGGCGCTTCAACTCCGGAAAATTCCACGGCGCGGGGGCGCTTTTTTCCCCCACCTTCGGGGCTAAAGGCCAGGTACTACTGACAGGGGTGGGCTGCCGGGCTGGAGGAGAGGCGGCTTGGGCGCGTGGTCCGGCAGAGCCTCAGCACAGCAGGGGATCCCTCCCGACTGTTATTTTTGATGGCATCTGGGATAACGGGCATTTTAGCGGAGAGGGCCACGTGACGTTGCCCAACGGTACTCGCGTGACCGCGGAGTGGCGGGGCCCCACACGACCGTACGACGGGGAGGTCGTCCTTTCGCCCTCTTCACCCCCCCCGGATGGAATCATCCCCGAGGTCGGCGCGGCTCATGAGTGGAGGGAGTGCTTTCACTGGGAGTCGCTTCTTTGTGGGGCCCACGAGGCGATTCGTGCTAGCGAGAGGAACGCATCCGCCGTGCTGCGTGAACGGTTGGCGAGCAGCAACACCCTCGAGGGCTTGCACAACGTCATTGTGGAGTTTCTCAACAACAGTGCAGTAGTACAAGTCGCGGTTAGAGTCTTTCGCCGTTGCTTTTACTTTCTTTTCGGCACGTGTGGGCGAAATGGCGAGATAGGCGCCGGATTAGGGAACAGCCCATTGGGGTGGTGCAGCGTGCGAAACGCATTTTGGGGCTGTATCCACCCAAGCCGAGGAAGACCTATAACAGCGGTTGATTTGGAGCTGGCATTACTTGACATTTTTTCCCTTACGCGGTCTCTTCAGCGGTGGGTGTATGAGATTTTATTTGAAGGGCAGGTCGCCAGCTTCGCGGGGGCCGGGACGGACACTACCATCGGGCGATGGCTTGTGGATGCGGTCTTCCAAAGTGTGGATGCTATTTTCATTAATTTATACGCACATGTATATAGTGAAGAGAGTTTAAATCTGGACAAAAAAATTGAATGTATGCGAGGGAAAGTCACACTAGACGACATGGGTGTTAAGTTTGCGCGGCGTTTCGGTGAGGAGAGTCTCTTCGATCCGTACGTTGATGCGGTACATTGTATTAATCAGCTTGGTCTACCTGGCCAAACGCTAACCACCAAATTAAGCGTCTTGATGCAGTGGTCTAGCGACATCAATCTTTCTACTCGTCTTGCTCAGATACGTGCGGAGGAGGGTACACGAGAGGCGTCAAGCCCTTTGTTGGAGGGCCCGTCTCAGGGATATCGACCCGGATCGACAGATGATCTTCTGCCTATTTACCAATACGTCATCAGTCAATGCTCCGTTAGAAACCTTTATCCTCATGCCAAAATGCTTGCTGATTTTTCAACACAGGAGAGCTTTATCGACTTGAGCTCGCAAGACAATTTTCGCGTTACGACCTTTCTGATATGCACCATAACCCTGATGCGACTTAGTCAATCGATACGAGACGATCATAATGTGCTGGTCCCCGCAAGTTTTCGATTAGAGCGAATGATGTTAGTGATTGAGGCGATACCGAAGTATGTGTGTGAATTGCACAAAAAACTCAGTCTAAGCGTAGGTGCGCAGGGCTTTTTTAGGCATAAAGACAGCACCCGCTTATTGTCCATTGTTCGCGGTTATGTGAAGTACTGGATGCCGCATGTTATCGAGCGTGCAGCCTGTCGAGTTGGGCACACACGCGTTTCTCACCAGCCTCTGTACCTTTGGTTGACGGACACAACCCTGTTTGAAAAGCAAATAATTGAACTAGTTCCGATGCGGTGCAAAGAGGTACCTGATGAGGTTCGTTTGCTTTGCTGGTCGGTCGCTGGAAGCCTAATGAAGGCGGTAGATTTGCAGTTTGGCGCATACAGGGCGTTGCCATCACCTCGTTGTGTGGAGTTCAACTTGGAAGAAGGTTGCGGTGCATGCACTGAGGCAAGCGATACGAATTCGGTTGTTTTTGTTGTCACCTGGAAACATTTCCCATTGCCAAGCTTTTTGCTTTATGCGGCGAGTGTTTTGCGTGATTCACTATGATGAGATCCTTTTCTTTGTTACGTGTGAGATTTTTTTTTAATTGAAAATCTCTTTTCAGGCGGGTGTATTATTTTATTCTAAAGCGATAACCCAAATGAACCGAAAACGATTGAATTAAGTGTCATACATTGATGCATATTGTTACAAATCGGCATTGTGTACTTTCATTCCCTCATTTCTTTTGATTAACTTTCATTTCTACCAGTCAAAAAATAAATCGACACAACATTCAAACTCTGCACGTACACATATCGTGCTTGGCAATTCTTACTTAATATTGTTTTCTTCTGTTTGCTTATTCATTTCTCACGTGGTTAGCATTTTTCATATACAGAGTTTTTAATATATAATCATTTTCATACCCTTTTCATAACCTCATAGAGGTCACTTTTTTATTCTCACACGTGCCATTTTGGCGCTTCACCAATTTTCTTTTGTCGATTACTAAAACTTTAATATTTATATCTATATCTATATAAATATAGATATACATATTTATTTGTTTATATTTTTATTTATATATCAGTCACTACTGAATCGTCTGAGGGGCAGTTTCATTTGAATATTTCAGAAGGATACATACATGCATAAAATGTTTGCAAAATTTTTCAAAAAGGACAAGAAGGATAAAAAAAAGCCAGATGAAAAGCCCTCTAGTGTCCGTCACTACGAACAAACCAACGATAAAAGAAAAGACACTAGTGCAATTGTTCCTCAGGAAAAAATAACAAAGGATGACTTTGAAAGCTTTGATCTGCTCGGTAAGGGGTCCTTTGCTTACGTGGTCCTCTGCCGACATATTTCAACAAATCAGTTCTATGCGATGAAAGTTGTAAACAAGCAAGGATTGTTGGACCAAAAGCGCATACAGGACGTGTTCACCGAGCGAAACGTTCTTATGCGTATGGGCCATCCATACTTGCTAAAGTTACACTGGACTTTCCAATCTGAGCACAAAGTGTTTTTTGTTATGGACTACATGTCCGGAGGTGATCTTGATAAGTATATGAACTCCGTTCCTACCAAACAGCTCGACTTGTTTACTTCAAAATTGTACGGCGCTGAAATTTTGCTTGTTCTCAATTATCTGCACGATAATAGCGTGATTTACCGTGACTTGAAGCCCGAGAACATTTTGCTTACCCATGACGGGCATTGCACACTCGCCGATTTTGGTCTTTCGAAGGATTTATTCGAAGATGACCAAGATGATTCGAACCAAGATATGCGAGCCGACTCGTTCGTGGGCTCCCCATTCTATGTTGCCCCAGATGTGCTACGCCGGCGAGAATACACGAATGCAATCGATTACTGGTCTTTTGGTATTCTTCTCTACCGCATGCTATGCGGCCGCGCGCCTTTCAACGGCAAAAGCATGCGGGAGGTATTCGAACAAATTCTGTACTCCGATCTTCGCTTCCCCAGTAGTGTACAGCTTCCAACAGAGGCCAAGGATCTCATCAGCCGTCTCCTAGTAAAGGACCCCAACCGTCGGATTAAAGGCCCCGAGATCATGGCCCACGAATTTTGGAATGGCATCAACTTCGACGACGTGATGAAGAAGAAGATCGTTCCGCCGAAATGGACCCCCCTTCCTACCGTAGAAGAGATGATCGCCCCCAAATCGGGCGTCAACGAGACCCAGCCCAACATGAGCACCCAACAACTGGTCAACACCCCATCCCACGTTTCCGAGCTCAACCCTACCCAACAGCAGCTTTTCGGTGGCTTCACATGTACAGCAGAAAGCTATCTGAATGTTGCTTAAAAGGTGCGCATCTTCAACGCGAACATACACACCCATAATATTACCCGCACTTACATAAATTTATTTACACATATAGAAATAGTACAAAGTTCGGGCAACGTCTTAATATTGATAGGGTAAAGAGTAATATACAGCACTTTAAACCTTTGCTGCACTTTATTGTGTTATCTATATATACGCGACAAAGGGAAGCACAGGGACCTATTTCAGGCATTCAAAAAAATGCTCCAAAAATTGCATATATCTATATATGCTTACATTGTTCAACAGTATAATTCTTTCTCTTTTTGGAGCTGTGAAGCAAATTTAACATTTTATAAAGAACTACAATACTTTTTTTTTTTTAATAGGCTAAGCAGCTAAAAAAAAAATCAGTGTTGTTTATTTACATTTTTCAAACCTTTAGGATTAAATAAATAATGCTGATCCAAAATGATTGGATCCTATCATAAATGTACTGGTGGTGAGTCCGTGCTTTTTAGAACTGTGTAGCGATAAAAGCAAAACTTGACGAGAATACCAAGTAGATTACTTTATGTCTAAGATATTAGTGACAGGTTGCTTTGTTTGCAGTAGACCCCAAAAAGGGAAAAATCAATTTATATCGCCGTATTCTTTTCAATGTTTCTTGCCTTATTATCACAATTAATTTCGGAAATTTTTGATTAATATAATCTAGACAAGATGCAATTTTAGCAGGGTAAGATAATATTTGTACTTCTTCCCACTCCTTAGTGCATGCACACGTATATATCAATACAAAAGAAAGGGACTTTACTATTCTTCAATTATGAGGCAGTTGAGTTTAACCATAGCCAATGTGATGAATAAATACTAAAATTCGTTTTAGAAAAAAATAAGTCCATCATTGATGTCTTCATTCCTTGGGTTATCACTATCCATGGATCACCTTGCTTAAGTTTCTCATTTTATCTTTTTCAGCTTTGGTAATAAAAAAAGAAAAAGAAAAAGAAACGATCTCTCAAGTACCCATTTTCGATAACCCGCGTTACAGTTGAGTACCATTGGGGGCCCAACCCTCACCTTCTCAATGACCAATTTATCCAGTGCAAAGACGAGCAACGGCCCCATGCCGAGAGGGGCCGCCGGCGCACCCGACCGATCCCGACGGAGGGGGAGGGGGATCTACGCCAGGAGGCTGCGCGAGCGCACGCGGCGGTGGGGCTCCTCCACGCCCGTTGTGACCTCCCTCCACTCCACCCTCCACACCCTCCACCGCCTGGAGGGGGTCATTTATGAGGCCGTGCGGGGGATGGGAGCAGGGGCCCCCGCAGAGACCGCCAGGGCTGACTCCACACGGCGGTACGTGGCCGCAACCCTCAGACAACCGGCTATGCCCTCTTTTGAGGATAAAGTGAACGCGGTTCGGAAGATTCTTCGCGGACTGGAGGGGGGCACCTCCGGGATTCGCGACGAGGTCCGTTGGGACGCGAGTGATGACGAGGAGGACCGTAAATTATTGGCAACTCTGTTAGTTTCCTACGATGGGAGTAATCAGGTTTGCATCTTAGAAGACAAGGAAACGGAAGATGGTGAAACCCAACCACCCGAACAAAAACAACGAACCGAGGAGCGAGATCATTTGAGACGCCTTAGCCCTCAGCAAGGCGAACCCAACGAAGGAATGTCCTTTGTAGGTAACTTTGACATGAATGCGGTAGTGAGATGGAGAAAATACCGAAAGGGCTTTGCTAAGATCTTGCATGACATGAAGAATTTCCTAAAATTGTCCTGCTCCAAGGCGATACCTTGGATTTTATTTTCCCACGCCAAACGGGTTGAGGTGAGTGATGATGAATTTGCATGTGATTATATGGTCGCGTCCTCAAATCATTTGAGGAAAAGTTACGACGAAATACTACACATGCATGATGCGCTTGCTACGTGCCAACGACGTGTGCACGATGCAATGATGGGCCTTGAAGACGCATTAGAAGTATATATTAAAGAGGCGACGTTTGTTAATCAGCAAGAAGATCAATTGTTACATAATTTTGAATCATTTGAGATGGAATACAACGCCTTGAAAGAGTTGAGATATCGACTCAATGGAATATGCGGTCTTGTGCCCAGGTAGGGGTTCTTTTACCTTTGACGCACACATTGGGTAAATAGGGTTAGGATGCGCGTCTAGATATTGAACGCGATCCGTCGGTGTTATTGACTTGTTCGAGGGATACTGGCTGATTTGTGCTATTTATCGTCTCGGAACTGTTGCCATGCCGCCACTCAGATCACCTTTTAAGTGTACTCACTCATGACTTAGCACTTGCTATAAGTTCTGCTAAACTATTTTTTCCGGATCGACACCGTTATTTTACTTCTATAAATTTTTTATTCTTCCCCTATTGTTACTTTATTTCATAGGGTATTTTTAATCAGGATCCAGAACAGGTGGAGTTGTAAATGGGGCGAACTCACACAAAAAAACTAGAGGCACGCGCGGCTCGGTTCACATCCTTGCCAACATCTGAGCGTTTGCTCAAGAGCGCGTTAATTAAGAAGAAAGAGAGTCGTGTTTTAAGTTCCACTGAGAAACATGCATTAAAAATGACCTCTAAACGGGGGGATATTTTGCGTCTTTGGGAGAAACTCCGTACGCTAGAGGATGACCCCAAAGCCGACAAGGAGGCATCTTCAGGCAAGGCGAAAGACAAGAAAACTGCTTATGAGCACAAGTACCCCATCGTAGAAAAGCTTTTACACCTTATTGAGCCCGATTTTCCCAGCGACATGCGGACACCGAATATAAGCCGTGTGGTGCAGTCTATGATCAAGTATGGATCAACCGAGCAAGTGAGTAAAATTGCGAAGTGGGTTTCAAATGATCTTGCCGCCTACGGCACAGACGCCTATGCACACTTTGTCGTCAACGCACTGATTCGACACGCTCCCCATAATATGTTCAATCTGTTGTTGACGCGTTTTATCCCGATCGTTTCGAAACTCATAACAAACAAATTTGGCATCGATGTTCTTCATTCGGTTTATAGTAGCCGTTGGTGCAAAGCAGCCGATCGCGACCTTATCATTCTCGCCGTATTTCGCGACAGCATGGCGGTGATGCGACAGTGGAGTGGCTACCCCGTGCTCGAGGACGTCCTTCGGCAGAATCCGCCCCTCCAAAAACGACTTTTGGCCCACCTTTTCGAACTGGGCGATAAACTGGTCTCGCACAAAGGGGCGGTGGGCTATCCCTTCGTTCAGAGGCTCGTCCACGCATTTATACGCTATGGTACTCGCGACGAGGTGAGTGAGCTGTGCGTGACCCTCCGGCCCTACCTGGCGACCCTGGCTTTCACACGTGAAGGGGCCCCACTGGCTTCATTGGTTTTTGTGTTGACCGATCCACCTAAACGGAAGGAAATCTTGCGAAGCTTCGCCGACAACCTGTGTGAGTTGTCCACTGGCAAGTATAGCGCGCCAGTTATGGCGCGACTGTTTGATTTACTATACGACCCACATTTTCTCCAAAAATATATTTTAAAAGACTTGAAAAATCATATTCGCATGCTTGTTGACAGTCCTTACGGATACCTTATCATTATTCATCTTCTCTCACCGCACCAAGACCGGAAAGATAAGCTGTTGCTTTCGAATTGGTCTGAACATAACTTGTTTTCCCTGGAAAATACGGAGTGGAACCACCACACATGGCTTACCTCTAATTACGAAGAGGAGGTGATTGAGTTTTGTAGCAAACCTGCAATCAACTCCCATCTTTTATCGCTTCCCACCATAGTGGAGTCCTTTTTGACGGTACTAGCGGAGGAGGATTTAACCGCGCCTAAGCTTAATCGTCTCCACGCCGGAATCATCGCGCGGGAGTTGCTGAGGGTTGTAGAGCATGAGCCCCTCTACAAGTCTTCACTGAAATTAACTAAGGAGCAACTGACGCTGTTAAATAATTTCACACCAGCGACTGGAAAGCGACATTCTCGTGAGGATAGCGAGCCGAGCCCTCAGAAAGAGCCATTGGATCAATCTCCAGCGAAGAAAGCACGCTCGGAGACCTCTCGTAGCGCTCCCGCGCCGGCTGTGAAAGAAGCTCCGAAACGAAAGCTTGTACAAAAAAAAGTCCAGAAGAAGGAACTTGACAAGCCATTAACTACAAAAAAAAAGAAGGCTAGTAGCTAGCTTAGTGACATAAACAGTTACACACGAGTAAAGCGTTTCTGGCGGCAAATCTAACTATCTGATTAACCCATAATAATAAATAAAAAAAAAGGTGAATAAAACTCCTGTTTCTACATGGCCATCCGTTGAGCTCATTCCATAGGCGATTGTTTGTTTTGTTGCATTGCCTCACCCTTTAGCATTTTTGACCCATCTATTTCCACTATTTCTTGTTTCATGCTCAACAGTCACAAATTGTGTAGAATCTTGTTTAGATGTCTTTTATTGATGTTCCACAATTTGGGCATGACGAACAGACGCTAAATAAAATATGTCAACTAGGCTTTATCGTTTACTCTTTGTTGGAGCACCGGGGGTTGGAAAGGGGACCTACTCCAGCCGCGCTGCGGCGGCTTTACGGTGCACTTCAATTTCCAGTGGTGATCTCCTCCGTAGCGAAGTCGAAAAAGATACGGAAATCGGTAGGAGGGTGAAGAACTTAATTGAAAACGGTATTTTTGTCCCAGACGCACTCATCTCTGAAATGGTGATGAATCATTTTACACAGATGCACACTTCCGCTGAGTTTCATGGCTATATTTTTGATGGCTTTCCTCGCAATTTCACGCAAGCCAAGACGATTTGGGATTCCGGCGACATGCCAATAGATTGTGTGATCAACTTTGCACAGCCCAACAATGTTATTTTAGCGAAGGTGTCCTCACGGCGCATGTGCTCCAACTGCGGATTTGTGTACAATTTGGCGAAAATTGACGAAGGAGGGATTAAGATGGATCCATTGCTTCCTCGAGTGAAGGGAATATGCGACAAATGTGGCTCTACCGGACCGCTTGTTACTCGAAAGGATGATGAATTTTCTGTTATGGAGGCTCGTTTGAAGGATTACGAAAAGATATCAGTCCCTCTGCTCCACTTTTATCAAGAAAAGGGCGTATTACACAACTTTGAGGTTCTTGGTGGCGCAAAACAGTACCTTCCAAGGCTTCTGGAACTTATTAAGTCTATTTATTCTTGTGTTTGAAAATGTTGAAAAAGAGCAGGGATACTTATCGTTTTTTTGTTTTTTTTTAATATGAAGGGCATCCTTGATCTTATATGCTGGGATTACATATTCCCAAGTCTATTGTTTTCTTCATTACACTACATAAGCGTGCCAGCATTAATTGTCTTACCATATTTCAAATTCTAACAAACCTCAATAAGAGGCCAAATGGGATCCGGTAAGTTGCTATTTCATTTCTCCTCCTCTCTCTTTCTCTACACCAGTTCCTACACTCGTTTTTCCTTAGCACGTATCCAGATTATTGGTTTCAACACGAACTGATTGAAGTAATCCAAGTGTGACTTCTCCTTCAAAAAAAAAGAAATGCATTCCAAACCCAAAAGCAACCGATCCAACTCACGACATTCAACAAAGTCTAAAGGAACTCAAGAATCGAGTCCTGTTCATAAGAGCGTGACGCTGCCCCAAACAGATCCTAAAGCAGTTGAGAGGTTGATTGATGAAGCCATCGCCCGCGCCCGTGCAAACCGCCAGACACGCACAGAAAAAGATGTAAATCCCTGGAATTCTACTCGAAAAGTCTCGTGTTCAACAAATAAATGTTGCATTTTTAAGCGTCTGGTCTTTTTTTTCTTTCTGACCTCTTTCACAGCGTTTTTGATGATTATGGGCTATTCGCGCTACCGCGATCACCCCATGTTTCAATGGTGATGCCTTCAGAATCTGTACCATTTATTTTCATTAGAATAATTTCTATATATTGGTGTACGGAAAACATTGTTGTTCTAATAATAATTAGATCAAACTAGTTTTTCTCTCTTTGATTTTCATGCAAACTACTTACAGGTGCCACAATTCAAATCAATATGACTAATGAGGCTGTTTTCTCTCTTAGAGACTGTTTTTCCTTTTTTTTCTTGTCACCTGCATTTTCTCGTTTTCATGAACGATCTTAAGTTCATCACAACGTCTGCAAAGACAAATTTATCAAACCAGGAAATGTTTAGCACCGCTGCCAAGTAGATGAAGGGAGTGGGTGGTGGGACCAAACGTTACTGGTTTCCAAATAAATCAACAATCATGTAGTTCTCCTTTCCAACAAGATATGTGATTATATTTGAATGTTTATGATTATTTAGCTTACTTTTTTTTTCTGTGCTTCTACCTACTTTTAAACCCTACAGCAAGATGGCCGGATCGAGATGAAAAGGGTTATGGGTATAAGGTCCTTATGATATCCAATCGAATATCAATGCTCCCATTTTTTACTCCTTTTAATAGGACTTTACTGCAGTAATAAATGTAAAAAAATGTCATTAATGCATGGGTAAAAATATATTTCGTTAGTTATCTAGTCAGGCGAACAAATCCAAACTCTCTACAGATGGTAATGAAATAACACACATACACAGTAAAAATGTCTCATATTGATCAAAGTTTGCACTTTAGAATGCTGATATCGACGAGAATACGGACTAAAAAGAAAAAAGATAAAAGGACTAGCTAATAATATCATGAGTGTCTTGTATTCTTTAACATTTGATGAGGAGTGCGACCTCCCACCACTTCTTTGGTTCTTCAGTCGTCCCATTCTTTTATTGATTTGGATTTTGGATTTCAAGTATCTAGCAAACAGTTTAGGAAGTCCCTATGCCTCGCTGTATTGAATGTGAGGTTACCGTTGAGAGGATCATTAACGTTAAGACAAACACGGTAGAGAAGTGCCCGTGCTGCGGTCTCAGTTGCGACACCTATTACGAGTTCGGCACAACGCAGAAGTGGATCGATGCGGTGCTACTGCAGCGATCGGCTTGGGTTCACATCCTTTTTAACGAAGATGTTAGACTCCCAATTCATTTGGCCTTTGCAATAGCCTGCTGCTTTATCGAGGCATTTGTAGTTCGTAGTTTCTATGTGATAACTTCCTTTTCTGCGGACACGGCACCAACCCTTCAAATTGTGAAGATCGTGAAAGGTCCTTTGTATCCGATGATGAATTATGCGACAACGCTACCTAAACTTTTTTCCTACGCACTTAGTGAGCATTTTCTGTTATTAGCAGCAATGACTTGGGTAGGCAGTCGTTCAACATTGAAAGGAGTGAATTATGAACAGGTTTTTTCCACATGGGTGAAGGCAATCAGCATCGCTACATCCGTAAAGCTTTTGTATTGCTTATTCTTTATTTGGAATATATCTTTGTCTCTTCTTTGGCTGATTGATGGATTATTTTGTGTGTGGATAATAAGGGGCTTTCTCACACTGATGTCAGACAAATCTTTATACTATGTGATTCCAAGAGTTTTATTGTGCATCGGGTGTCGAGTCTTGTTCCGCCATCTGACAGGGTGGTGCAGCCAGATTATAATGTAGGTGAACTAGTGTGGCAGTTCTTCTCTTTAACACTTCGTTGAGGTTCCTTGAATTAGGTCAATTGGATCATCAAAGCAACTTCAATCATGTTTCAGATTATTATTATTCATATTATTATATCATTTGTTTTTTAATGGACGATTCTTCATTGTTTCACGATTCTATTTCTCCTAGGTTTTCTTTGCTTAAAGCCTATTTAGCTTTGCTTTTAGAGCCTTCAGGGATTCATCATTTATTATTCTTTAAAAAGGTCGTAAAGGAAAGGTAAGTTCATTGAAAAGCCGTTTCACTTGTACAGTAGATTGAAACATGGAGGCAAGTATTGCAGTTTGTATTCATGATATGGCATCTGTCTCTGGGATGCACAGGGCTATCCAAGTATCTAGGGACACTATCACTTTTACTTGTCCTCCTTTATTGAAAAAAGGCGGATTTCCTGTGAGCGAAGGTATGTTTAATGTGGAACAGGCCATGGAAAACCCTTCTGCGAGTCATGTGATGAAGAATTCTTTCTTTGATCTTGCAACCAACTTTAAAAAAAAGCGACAAAACCTGGTTGTTTTTGCATACGGGGTTCGCTCCACACCAAAGAGGCAGCTGATGATTGGGTTTCAATCGGAAGATGGTTACGCTGCCAAGGTTTTTTCGGACGCCATTTCGGGTGGAGCGGGCATCTTCTGCATCTCTTGCTATGTGGTTAGCCATGACGAGTATCTTGTCGATTTAATAAACCTCAGCAACGAACTAGGCGTGATCGTAGAGTCCGTGAAGGAGGGTCCAAGTGTACGAATGGTCGAGCGGGCGAATGTGACATCGGCTAGCGATATCCGAAACGTCTTTAAGAAGATTGTGAAAAACTATCAGCAAATATTCTCTAATGTCCTTTTAGAAAAACAACCGACACCGGAGCTTGAGGCCCTGCCGCCCTACAATGGAGATACCATTATGCTACAGCTCTACCGCTATGAAAATGCTGAGGATTTTGACAATTACGAAGAGGCCAATTCGATGACCTTTGTGGCTTTGGGGGACTCCGAGAGGCCGGTTCTTTGTGGGGTGGATCCACAACACCAGGCCGTGTACGAAAAGACGCACCGTGTGCTGCTCTCCGCGGTTGGTATCGTCTCGGGCATCAAGTGCAACCGCCTCCGGCTGCCCTACGGGAAGTCCAAGGTCAGCCAGCTCCTGCGGCGCTGCTATAACGCGGAGAAGAACTACCCCCACAACACCTCCAACGCCCCCACGCAAACCCGCATGCTCCTGCACTGCTTCGCCGATGGGAGGTGGGCGGAGGAGACATATCACTGCCTGTCCATGATCCGCCGGATCAGCAATTCCCTTGGCTCCGGCGGCTTCACCTCGATGCTGCGGGACCTTCAGGTGGAGAAGTGGCGCCTCGATCAGGACGTGGCGGAACTGCGGGATGAGATCCTGTTGGCGAAGACCGTCTACGACTACAAACCGTTCATTTGCGAGACTGCAAAGCCGATTCCAAATATCAAGGAGGAGGAGTTGAAGCGCATTAGCATCATTCAGTCAAAGCGAAACGAGGTCTATGAGCAACAACTCGCGGTCATACGACAGAAATCCAGGGAGGAGGCCGATGAACTGATCCGGGAGCAGGAAAAACAAGCGGGCGCCACACTCGAAGAGCTGAAAAAAACGTTGGAGCAGAAGAAGCGCGAGAATCTAGCTCTGGAGGAAGACCGTAACGCCCGGGCTCGGGATTATGAACAGACACTAGAGCGAATTCGCAAAAAGAAGGAGGACGAGGAAAGAACCGCAGTGCGTACCAGAGAAGAGATAACCCAGTTGGAGGAGGAGCTCATTCTCCGCCAGACGGCCGTTCGAGACAAGCAGCGCCAGCTAGAAATGGCGAAGCTTGACAAGGTGAAGGGCAAAGAAGCAATTTCGCGCGAGCGTGAGTTAGTTCAGGAATCTCGAAGTGCCGTTCAGGAGGAACGTCGCCGCCAGCGCGAGCAGTGGATTAAGCAAATTCTGGAGATCAATCAAAGGATACTTGATCAGCTTCGTGATCTGCATGGGGAGCTCCGCCGTAACGGAGAGCAGATATCTGCGAAGGAGGCGGCGAACAAACAGGCGATTATTGATGACATCAAAGCTACCGAAGAGTACTTTCCTCATCTTATTTCGCTGGAAGACACACCAATGAACCCTGAGGAGATGGAGAGCATCCGTCGACAGTTTGACGCAATCTTCGAGAAGGAAAAGGAGAGCTATGTTGCCAAGATTGAGGAGGAGAAGCTACGAAAGGAGAAACTAGAAAAGGGCCTTGGGGCATACCGTAGTCGTGTTCTGGAAGCGGCGCAGTTAAAGAAGGAGGAGAATCTTCGGGAGGCTACCCGAAAGGAACAGCATCTCAATTCCATGTTGGACCAAGTGCTTAACTACCTACGTCAAGGTGTTAGGATGACTAAGATAAACAGCAAAGGAAATGTGCGCCGTCGTTTCTACTTTTTATCGGATAACGGCAAATATATTCATTCATGTGAGCTGGATAGCCAAGATTCCCCCATCAACCGTCGAAAACCGTCGGTGACTATTTTGATTTCGGATATCAAGAAGGTTGTGATTGGCCTTTACACTGTGTCTTTTGTCGGGTTTAGCAGCGAGGCCCAGCTTGCGAGGACGCGGCTGGAGGCCATGAGCGACAATGGGACCTACCGCCACGACCCCACCCACGCGATCACCCCAGCCAACATTGGGCTTTATAATTATCGCTCTTTTGGGCTTCTGATGCGCGGGAATAAGTCGCTGGAGGTGGTGTGTGACTGTGATTCAGACTGTGAAGCGTGGCTGGTTTGCTTGAAGCGTCTCTTGCGAATCCGAACTACGGTTGAGAGAATTGTGGAGCAGCGTACGCATACATCTCGAGAGGTGAACTCTGGCAATTTGGAGCCGATATGTGATATGAAGTACGGCGGGACCTTGGATATTCGCAACATGCATGGCTTTGTTTCCCTTTCTCTAGAGGAGGCCACGTTTTGCAGCGAAAACCATGTCCCGCCGGCCCTCTTTCTTCGTGTGAAGAACGAACAGATGAAACGATCACAGACGAGTTCCATCACCGTCTACGATATACGTGTGTCTTCAGGGCTGGACTTGTTTCGATCCAGCTACGTCTATGATTTTTTAGTCACACATGGCCTCATCCAGCTTCCTTTTTAGAGCTGCGAGATGTACCATTGAGTTTAACTGTGTTTGATAGAATTTTCACATTTTAATGGCATATTAACCTACCACTGGGAAAGCATTGCGAAGAAACTGAGCGGTTTCTCATAGAATTCACACTGGTATGAAAGAAAGAGACTAGGCAGAGGTCTGTTGTAGCCTAGATCTTTTATTGCTATTTATTTGTTTATTTATTTGAGCCATTCAATAAGCACAAGTCGGCGCTCATCCCGTGCTGGTCCATTTTTTTACATTAATGTAAATGATGTGGTTTGTTTTCTTTTTTGTTTAAACGGGATAATTGAATTAAAGATTACAGGTTTCTCGATGACCTGAAGGGAAAGTACTGATCGTATTGAATTTCGATACCCAATGCACTTACCGTTACAAAATGGCACTCCTACTTCTTCTTTTAAAAATATTTCAAAATTTATTTATCAGTATTAGCACTTCAATCCGAATAACAGTTTCTATTTGAGTGATGTCGATATTCGAAGGCCGTCTTCCAGGGAACCGGGATTAGGGGAATATTTCAGCGATAAGCAAATTTTTCGCGCGATGTGATGGAAATATCTTGTGAAGTAGACGACGCATACGCTATGAAGAAACGATTTGTGGCCTTTCCTTCAATCGACAACTAGTTTAATTTGCTTAAGTACCTCTCCGCAAGCAAGGCGTATAATTGTACGGCTCGCTCAGACTCAAAATCTTCAATTTGTGTACGCGCGATTCACATGATGAAGGACACCACCGTCAAGTCTAAATGATTCAATACAAGCTACCCACTGCAAGTATTATTCATTGCGCTTACTCTCATGTTTCTGCTTCTTCGGATTTCAGATAAAAGGCTATAAAATGTTGGCACTTGTTTCCAATAGAGGGGAGATGGTCATTAGATTCGAATAAAGTGTACTGAGGATGTGGCAACACTTTCTTCTACTCCAATCCTGCTCGATATTTTTCTATAGACATTAGTTTAACGGGAATTCGATACTGTCCAGTGCATCTTGTAGGCGATTTTAGGATCCTCAGAGCATTTGGGGAAGGTGAAAGAAATATGTTATTTGTGAAGAAGAGCTTGGTGGACGTTATACTGCTTGAGCACGTTCAGGATGATAGTGTTCACACACTTCCCTTATGTCGCGGCTGATCGTTACTCTGGGTTACTTTAGGCTATGGGTCGGGTATCGCTGATCCGTGACCAGGTTAGCCTTCACGGATTGTTGAGCATCTAATGACAACTTTAGGCGGTTGGACGAGACGGATAGTAGCCACCCTTCATGACCGATTGCTCAGCTGCGCTGAGAAGTGGTTTGTGTCGTTTCTTTTGTTAGGATTCCGCACTTCCAAGTCGAGTCCGTGGGGGGGGGGGAGATCACTTGCGTGCAGCCTTTATATTCCATGAGCTGGGCAGTGGGGTAATGACCGCTGCCGACAGTTGAGGGGCAAAGTCCTGATGGATGGGGTAGAGGAGGGATGACCTAATGAGTGCACTCTCATCACATCCATGTATATTGGCAGTGTGGGCGAGGTCCTACACCAGCGTTATACTTGGCAACATTTACCACCTACAGAATTTGATTTGGACATTTTTTTGAAAGAAAACCCCTGTTCAGGACTTTTTTTTTGAAAAATGTAGCCGCATGCGACACCAGGCAAGCGGAATCTAGTGACAGATGAGATTTGAGACTAAAGACTTAATTCTGATGATGTGAAAACATTCTGAACGAAGTGAGTATAATGCTGCTTACTTGTCGCGTTAAATGGGCGATTTTAATCCAGCTTTTCCTTTTCCTCTAAGACTGTTTACCTATATGAGTTAACTTTATCATTGCTTTCTATGATAAAATTATGCTTACATTTTGGATGGGTAGTGTGTGCTTTTCATTCGCTTCTTTTTTTTTTGGGGGGGGGTGGAAATAAAACGAAAACAACTATATCCGAAGTGTAATTTTCTATTTTCTCTCCTTCTACCTGTGTTTCCTTCCTTGACCAAAGAAAGAGCGCACTCTTTTAAAGATAATAATATAAATAATGAAATTTTACGCATCAATCTTAATTTTTATTGTACTGCTAAGTACACTCTCCCATGCTGACACATCTCCGTATGATCCCATCTTCCATATTTATACACCTCAACGCTGGATCAATGACCCCAATGGCCCCTATCGAGACTCTGTCACAGGCAAAATCCACTTGTACATGCAATACAACCCCCACGGGGCCATTTGGGGTAATATGTCGTGGTATCATGTAACCTCGGATGACTACGTCAAGTGGGTGCGCAGTGAAAGCCTATCCATGACCAATGACCGCTGGTACGACTTACATGGCGCGTACTCGGGCACGATGATCAACAACCATCTTGGAGACCCCGTTGCTATATATACTTGCGCGGAGGGTGCGGGTGAAGATCTAGTTTCTCAAGGTATGCCCGACATCCAGCGCCTGTGTATCGCGAACCCATCCAAAGCCGATCTTAAGGGCAAACGCACGCTGGACATCTTCGAGAAGAGCCCGTTCAACCCCGTCTTAAGCGAACTCGACGTACCCGGGCTGGTTCACCTCAACAATCTTCGTGACCCGACAGAGTTGTGGCCTGATCCGGCGCATCCCAATGAATGGCTCATTGCACTTGTTGCACGCGTTAAAGATGATGAGGGTGACAATGCACATGTGGTTCTTTTCCGCACCGAAGACCCCACGTTTCAGACCGGCTACAAGTTTTCGCACAGTCTTTACAAGTACTTCAATGAAGAAATGTTGGAGTGCCCTGATTTCTTCACTGTGGACACCAACAATGGATACTTTCTGAAGCTCACAACAATGGGCGCACGCCGTGATTTTATGGTGTACGGCAAATACCAGATGGACAGAAAAAAGAAGCAGTACGTTTATGTTGAGGACACTGGCCGAACCCCCACGTTCATGGACTATGGGCCTTACTATGCGTCCAAGACCTTCTACGACCCAATCCTGAAGCGGCGCATGATTTGGGGCTGGGTTCCCGAGGAGATGGAGGAAGAGCAGAATGTGAGGATTCAGGGATGGGCTGGCGTGCAAGTTTTACGTGATATCGTCTACGATGCGAAGCAGAAGCGTCTCAAGTACCCACCAATACCACAGTTGAAAGCGCTGCGCAAGGCGCGCCTCCTCAGCAAGAGTCTTGCGCTTTCGTCTGACGCTGTCAGTACTGTCCTGAGTCCTGAGGTAGGGACGATGCATCTGGAGATTATTGCAAAATTTAATTTTCCCGCAAACCTTTTTGATAATTCTAAGGGATATACCAAAGAAAACGCCCCTGAGGTGGGCTTGCGCATCCGCACTAACGCCGATGGATCGGAATACACAAATGTGGCATTGAGGATGCCGGCGGCTGAAGCCGATGCAAACATCTGCGATGCATGCACCTACGCGATAGGGCGAAACACATCCTTTAAGGTCTATCCCATCAATAGTAAGAAGAATCCAGTGTTGAATTGCAGTAAGGAATGCGCAAAGGAACGCACCTGTATGTCGTGGGCACTGCATGAAATCGAAACTAAAGACATGGTGCAGTGCTCACTGTACTGGGACCACAGTTCTAAGGTGTCCATTCCGAATAAAATTGTGTCCAGCGGTGTCGTTAATGAACCGCTTCTATATCTGGAACGTAATAAATCGGGTACCATTGGCTACAACTTTCCACTTCACGGTCGTGCCCCGTTGGCATCAAGCACCGAGTTGGAGCTGCGTATTTTTGTTGATAGTAGTGTTATTGAAGTGTTCAAGGACGACGGTCTGCAGATCATCAGCGGCCGTGTGTACATCCCCGATGGAGTCGCTCACAGCGGTGTTGCGCTCTACACCCGCAACACGGGTGATGTTCCTGTCACTGCCAATATTCAAGTCTTTTCAATGAGCAGCATATGGAACTAGCCTCGGTCATTTAAGGAACCTGTATAACTTCATTAACACTCTATAAATGCTCCTCGTTTATTATTTTTGCTTAAGTAAACCAGAATTATGAAGGAAAACAATATCATGCGGCGTTAAACATGTTGTCTAATAAAAAAAAACTTAAATCAAGAAAGTCCTAACTTAATTTTCCCCCTTTTTACTCCACCTAAATAGGTGAATATATAAAAAACTTCCTTCCTTTTAAAAATATCTGATTACATTTTCTGGAACAATAATAGGTGAAAAGGAATAAAACATTTTTCTTTTAAAAAATATATGATTACTTTTTCTAGAACAATGAACTGTGAAAAAAACTCAGGTTTTAGTGCAATATTTATACACATTATGCACACTAATTTCATTTCACTTGTATGGACAAATTGGAAGACGATTTGGGGCTATAAAAATCTTAACCTTTTTTTTATTAACGAGCAGTTGGGAAAACGTAAATGTTGAAATTATAGAAACGGATCTTAATCATGTGACTTAACTTTAATCTATTTGAATACTGCACGTTTGCCAGCTTATGGCTTCTGTTTGGATTCCTTGGATGGAATGGGGAGGGGGTAAATAATGTTAACGCGATGGTTCAGTATTAGTGCCTCTCTTTGTCGATTCTGAGTTTATACTAATCTAAATGAAAGTTTTTTTCCAGGAGTATGAAATAGTTGTCAAGGATCTTTTTATTTTATATACTGACTGCTTGGTTTCAATAGGTAAGAGCAGTGCGTCAATATATGGGCCAATCGGCAAACGTGGTGAAACAATCGATTGCAGTGCCTCATGATAAAGGTTTTTACAATATGCTTATGGAATAACTCACCAAAGCAACTGTAGACCCCGTAATCTCAGATATTTGTAATCAGGACACCCAATTAAATTAAAGCAATATGGTCACGAAGACCTCATACAATGTGGCAACATCCGCTGTGGGGAATGCGATCATTTAGCAGAACTCCGTCAGCCCGCCAACCCAAAGCCAGCTGCGCTCATACTACTGGACTGCTATCAAGGGTCTGTCCTACTGCAACGAAGCAAGTGTTTTCGCGCATTGAGACGATCCTGAGCCAGCGATGCGAGTAGATGAAGCTTACCGTTCCACAAGCTGGAGGTGCTTTGTTCCAATGGCCGAGGCAATTAGAGGCTTTTGGTATTTCATAGCAAGCTAAACCTCTCCGTCAAGAACATTTTTTAACGACTCGTAGGGTGTGATTATGCCTGATGCGTGTCTATGGTGAGCAGGTGGAGTTGAGGGTAATGTGGAAGTTTATTCAGTAAAACTGCTCATCTTTTAATTTGAAATTGTCCTACGGTGTATGACTACAGATTTTAAAAATTCAAGACGTATGGAATATGGAATTCAGGCTCTAATTCTCCAGCATTTCAAATCCTGATGTTGGGAGGTTTGCTATCTGAAGAGATTAATAGATTCAAAGGGTTCCAAAGGCGTGGGGCGGGCAATGCCTTTAAGCGTAAGGGTACTGGGGGAATTAAACCGCTCAAGGTCATGTTTAGGGTACGTTTACTCTCCCCATGTGAAAACAGCAGCACCTGAGGGATATTTTGGTTTTCCAACCCCCGACGTGGTACCATGCTTTTCGTGTGACTTGCCAATTGCAATTCGTCTTCACAGCCGCGTCTTTCACTGTTCCATTCGTCCATCGCCCGCAGCATCTCTAAATGTTCTTTATAGTGGTGGTCAAATTCATCTTTGCCATCAACAACCCCAAGCCCTAATAAAACATAATGGAAGCTCAATAATTTATTATTAACATCCAGAAACCATGTATGTCATCCACATTCTGTCAGCATCGACACCAAGGATTTCATCCATATAAATAAAACGTTTTTACATAAAGTTCATGATGAAAATAGGTCAGGGTTCTCGCTCGTTTCTAGTGACGTTCGAAGGCAACTTTACCAATCTGGATTACATCCTATTGCTTCCACCAAAAATTGTGCGGGCATACTCTTCCGTGGGATCGTAGATCGAGTCCAAGGTGTAGCCCCACCGCCTAGGGCCCCCATACCGGAAAGACATCCTAATCTGTGGAGCTGAAGTCCTAAATAGGGTAGCGTAATATGGTGGAAGTTGAGAGCGCAGGAGTCAAAGCATGGCCCAGCACAACACAAGCCACAGGCGGAACCCGGATTTGGACCTGAAAAGTCGAACATTTAGCTGATATTTTTCGAAAATCGGAATTCGCAGCGAAAAGACAGTCCCAACAAGCACATTTTCAATAAAAACGTCAAAATATCGAGCCGCTTTCGCAAAATCTGGCGATTCCGAGAAAGCTTCCTCGGGAATACTGATGGTTAAGCCTCCAGTCTACCGGGGAAGCTTTCGTCACACAAACCACGGCCATTTCCGGTACACCCCATAAAACGTTCTTTCTTAAACACGTTAATGTTATAGTTTTGTTCAGGTTATTTTAGGGTTGGTATAAGTAAATCGAGGGGGTTGAAATTTATGAACACAAAATATTGTTTATTTGGAATATAGAAATTTTGTAGTGAACAAGTTATAGCCATCTCGATATTATATTTTTTTATTGAAACCGAAACGAATTATTTGGGAATTGAATTAAATTGATGCTTATTTATTTTACCCTAACCCAATCATTACCCTAACTCGAACCCTAAATTATTACCTGGAATTTTATCGAAATTGGAAATATCCCTATTATAAAACCACATCACGTTACTCCTATTCAAAATGGCTATCCATACTTGTTTATATTATTGCAACAAATTTCCAAGATATATGACTCTGCACACATAAACGCAAGCAACCATTAACCGTTATTCTTCTTATTGATCCCATGGATCCCACCTATACGACCTGAAGCGTTTCCGCGGTGGATAGAGATGATCCAACGGATGGGCCAGGGACGCGGTTGCTTCTGATGGATGTCCGAAGGCCACATGACAAATCCAGAATGAACCCGACCGTTCTCACAAAACAGGATGCGGACGAACCCTCCCATGGGGACATCGTCGCGATCCAAGGTGTAGCCCCACCGCCTAGGGCCCCCATACCGGAAAGACATCCTAATCTATGGCTATAGAGTCCTAAATAAAGTAATACGGAGTGAAATTGAAGGTGTAGAGGTCGGAGTCTGACTCACCAACCCAAACCACAGGCGGAACCCGAATTTGGACCTGAAAAATCGACATTTAGCTCGATATTTTTCGAAAAGCGGAATTCACAGCGAAAAGAAAATCCCAATAAGCACATTTTCAACAAAAACGTCAAAATATCGAGCCGCTTTCGCGGAATCGCCAGATTTTGCGAAAGCTTCCTCGGGAATACTGATGGTTAAGCCTCCAGTCTACCGGGGAAGCTTTCGTCACACAAACCACGGCCATTTTCGGCACACACTA